GGGGGGGGGGACCAAAAAAAAATCCAACAGGCAATCAATAAGGAAGTGGAAATAAAAGAGTTGTCACTGCGTTCCATTTCAAGGATCTATACCTGCCAGGGCCTTTCCCAATCAAGAGGCATAGGCCATGCACCAAACCAAGCTCCTATAGCAGCTCCATGTGCAGGAAAGCAGATCATATAATCTACAGCTCCAATAGGCCTGGAAAAGGAAATTTTGAATTTCAAAGCCCAACGAAATTATATTAAAGGGGTTGGTAAAGCGCACAGAAAATTTCTGAATTCAAAGCTCGAGAGATACGTAATAACATAAATATCAAATATGAAATTTTAAGGAAAATATTAAAATTTCAGAATTCAAAGCTCGAGAGAGATATAATAATACAAATATCAAATGTGAAATATTAAGGAAAAAGACATTCATGATAACCTTATTATCATGTTAGCAGGACAAGCTAGTAGTTTGGTTAGTTACATGAACTGAATGGAAGCGGACTGTTCCTCGCCCCATGAGAAATATATTTTTCATGCATTTGTCAACAATAAAAAGATGCAAACACGGTTGTTAGCTAGTTATCTTACTTTGTCTGAGCAAATATTCTATGCCAATCAGTCCATGAAGAGCCAAAAACAGAAGCTGCAGGGACGAACTGACAGAATGAAACATAGCGAAACATGAGACAAGGGAAAATAGAAATAAATATATATGGGAGTGATACGCATGGTATCTGGCAAATTTGAGTACAGAATGTAGATTTCGTTTTCAGAGACACGATATTTGGCATATGGCTGTATGTTTGGATTTTTAACCTGGAACTCTGTAAATGATTCATAGTCATAAAAAACCTGTGTCTTAAGTAAAAGTCAAAATGTAAGTGTGAAAGAACATAAAGCACGCTACCTCAGAATAAAATTCTAAAATGCAGTTATTAAGAAACATATTACCCTTGTTTGAGCCCCATTTTTGTGAAGAAAATGAATTTTTGAATAGTGTATTGATGGGAAATGTGTGGTTAAAAAATAAGAAAAAGTTTTTGATTTGCGTATAATATTATTTTATTGAATAATGTGTGGTTGAAATGATGTCAAATCACTGTTGAAAAATGTATTTTAGTTGAAAAATGGGGCTCAAACAAGGGCATTAATGGATAGAGAAGTTTTGCAAGATATAGTAACTGGACAAACTGATACTTACTGTAAGAACGGACATTAGGAGAGACCAATGAACAGTCTTTCGGAAGTGCCTGTATGCAATAAAAAAACAAATATCAGTAAATTTATGCACTACAAACAGCCATACCAAGAATAAGCTTGAGCTTACATAAAATTCTCTATTCACGTGATTATATTAACAGAATCACCGTTGAGGTTAGACTTTTAGAATATAATGACGCTTCACTATCAATACCCCAAGCAAACCCCTACAGCACAATTGGTACTCAATCATCTCCTTCCAATTAGCAAATATGGGTGCACTTTTTTTGGAGAAGAAAATGAAAGGTATAATCTGTGTTAGAGGGAAATAAACATGCGAGTACCTGCTAATCATGGAGGGAGTTATTTTTTGCAATAGGATATGATAGATCAGAGCCATTTCTATCCAACCTCAATTAAATGATGTGTTTTCAAATTTGTATCACGAATCATATCAAAAAATGGAAAAGCAACTACAGCTAACAGTAATCGACGTACTGAAGGCCAACAGGTGCCCCCAATACAATAGCTCCAAGTGCATTCACAATTGCCCCTACAAATTGAGACATAGCACATCTCTTAGAACCCACATGCATAATACCTACGACAGAAAGTATTACATTCTCTATAGTCTATATAGCTCAAGGCTTAAATACCAATTGTTGGGATTTGCATAAATTAAGGTCAAACCTACAATGAGGAGTATCTGTCTGTATCATTATCTACAAAGAAACAAATGTCTATAGCAATATGTCAGCCAGCAACTTCAGTTCTGCAAAATCCATTTCCAGTATCAAATTTCCACTTCCTAATAATGTTGCCTCATGCCACCGAATAGAGCTGTAAATGGCACAAGTTGCCAAGAAGTGATTTATACTGTGCTTCTCAGAAATTCCTGCTTAGGAGATGCCCCTACAATAAGGGCTCTACATCTTTTCAAGTGTTAAAATCTTATAATAAATTAAATTAGATTTGCATCTCCATCAAATTAATTTATCCATTCTTCAATTATGAACCAGTAGAATAGTGTAGTGTCTGAGAAATGTAGTTCTTCTGTTAGACCATTTCCTCTGATGTGGATCTTTCTAAGTTTTGCTTTGTTCTTTTGATGAGTGCACAACTGCACACCATTTGGACAGTAATCACATTTCCAGAAAAAATTAGGTTTGTAACACAGTTCATGCCTCAGAGTTGTAATTTGGGGAGAATCATTTCAAATTAGATTCTAATTCGCCATTAACACTTGGAGATAGGTAGAAATAAGTAGAATTAATAGTTTTCTATGTTAGGAGTTTGATATTATCAATGTTATATTTTATTAAAAGTTCGTTTAAATATAAAGTTTTATTAGTTTGAAAGTCATTCTCTACATAAAGGGACTTAGATTTTAATTTAAAAGCACCCTTGAATATAAAATTATTTCTCTTTGCCCTCAAGTCTTCTTCTCTTCTTGGACCCCCGCTCTTTTTTGTTCCATTGCTTGTTCATTATTGAAGACAGAATGAGAAATAATTGATTGTATAATCCTCAATGATTTTGAGCTTGTTTGGTAATAATTTTGAAAATTGATTATTTGACCATTGAAGAGAAAAGTGGGTCTATCTGTGAGAGAAATAGTCAAAAATGACTATTTGAATAGTCAAATAACGGTAAAAAAAATGATTTTTTGGGGTGAAAAATCAATACCAAACACCCCCTTTCTTACAATACCGTGGCTCAATTTATAATACAAAAGAGGGTAGAGTTAAGGAACGTAATTTCCTAATTAAAGAAAGAAAAAACATTTCCTAACTAATCACTAATTATACCATACAAGTTATTGCAATAATCTATAATAAATTCCTTCCCATAATAATCCCCTTAATCTCGGGATTTCTACACTCCCTCTCAAGAGAAGAAAGTGGTTATTGAACATGTTAGTACTGAATCGATTACTGATCCTTTGATAAAAGGCCTGCCACCTTTGAGATTTAATGATCATGTAGTTAGAATGGGACTAGGTTCCATTATGTAATTTTTTGCAAGGACAAATGTTGTTCAATGAAACTCTAAATTGTTTTGTGATGGTTTCTCATATTTGTGTTCACATTAATTAATTTTAAGAAAAAATCATTAATGTTGGACCTAGAATAAAGATAAGGTTTATTCATTAAGTATTGCCACATAAAGGGTAATATTTGAGAAATGTAATACAATATAATACTTAGTACTCATTGTTAGATAATCTATCGCCATGATTCATGTACTTTTGTTTCTAGAGAATGAGAATTGATGGATTTAGGATATCATATCAAGTGAAATGCATGGACCAAGTGGGAGAATGTTAATATTTTGAAAGTTTGAAATGGTCCAAAATTTCCCTTATTTATGGGAGATTAACCATGTTCTCTTAACTACCCACTTCTCAACTTTGTGGTAACCGATCACAGACTTCAAATAACTTCTTTGATAGGAATAAGTTTATAAAGGTAAGGAGGGGTATTGGTCCCTAATTCTTGAGTTCTCTTTCACGTACATACACCATAAGAGTTATTGAAGACTTAGAAGCACTAAACACAATCTGAAATTCTGCATTTTAAACATCAATCGCTGGAGGTCAGTCTTGTTCTTCATTTTTCGCATTGATCTATATGTTGCTTATTTATCTACACATGATAGGTCAAAATAGAATCTAATATTTTGGTCAAATCATATTCTTGGAGATGATTTGCATATTCAATTATTGTCATGTGATCAATTTTGATATTTGATTCATAAGATCGCTTTTGATATAGCTAAAAATAAACGTCGCTGTCAAGAATTCAATATCCACATTTGGTCAAGACAAAAGATATGCCTCCTTGGGGCATAAATGTTTAATCTACCTCATCGGAGTCGAGTTCCCTCAGTTGAGGAAAAATGATGAAGTTAGAGATAGAAATAAGTAGAATTTGAGTTTATCTAGAATTTAGCAATTTGATATATTAGGAGCTAGATAGTTTCAATGTTATCTATTATTAAAAGTTTGTTTTGATTAAAAAATTTAATTTTATTGAAAGTCCTTCACTATGTAAAGGGGCCTAAGTATGAATTCATACACTTGAATATATGATAAAGTTATTTCTTTTGCCCTTAATTCTTCTTCTCTTCTTGGACCCCCTTTCTTTCTTATTCTTGCTTGTTCTTTGTCAAATCTATATGCTTCCACGTCAAACACAGTGTTAAAAAATCCCATGTTTTGCAAGACAGAATTAGTGTCTTGACATTGTTGCTATGTGAAAACTCGTAGCTTTTTTATTCTTAGTCAACTACCACTAAAATGTATCCATTTGCTTTTCTTGTTGAAGAAAAAAGTAATCATAATCCAAGGTTGTACACAGTTTCACATGCGGATTTATAATCAAATAGCACAATAAATTCTTAGTCAACCCACACTGAAAAATACAAATCACACTTGTAAAGAAATTTTCGCCCTCACTACTAGATAATTAATCTATAATGCTACAATACAAAAACAAATCACACAATCGCATATAAAAGGAGGCTAAGTCTAACCTGCAGGAAGTCCCACCAAAGCTCTACCTACAGCTTTAAAATACTATCCAATAAAAAAAAAAAAAAAAATTAAAGTATTTATAATAAATTACTAAACCTAAACATAAATAAACAAATTAAGCTGAAATTGTGAATAATTTAACTATAAACTTACTGAACATTTATCCGGATTGTGCCGAAACAGACTATACAATAGGATCACAACTGAAGCTTCAACAATCTGATAAAAAAATAAAAAATAAAATAAAATAAAATAAAATAAAATAATAATAATAATAATAATAATAATAAACAAAAGCAACAAGCTATTTAATGCATTAAAAAACTTGGAAATTGAAGAAAATACAATGCTTACCCAAATTAGATGTAGAGTTTCAGCTGGATTTGAAACGAGATTAATCGAATAGAAATTTTGAGCTGCCCAGAAAGCTGAAGCTAAACCTAGCCCACAAATCAGGTGCAATACAAATACCTTTGCTGTTGGTATACATAAAACCATGTTGATTTTGGTTTCCGAAGAATTTAAATTCCGCTGCCTTTTCTCCTTCTCCATTCAGTATTCTTTAATTCAACCTGTTTGAGTTTGAATTGATTTACAGACTGTTTTTTTCTGTTGATAAACTCCCCCCCAAGCCCCAAATCTATTTAGTCGTAATTAACTCTATGGATGAAATGGTAATTATCAAAAAAATTTCATTTGGGTAGCCTAATTTACAGGAAACATTCATGTTGGTCACCAACTCCCTGTTGTTCCAATTTAGTCATCAAATTTATGATTTTCTTAATAAAAACAGCACGTGATGGAATATTTTCTTAATAACATGATAAACCAGTAAAAACTTAGAACGAGCTAAGAATGACCTGAGCTAAAGAAGAAAAATGGAAAACTTATACATTATAAAAATGAGATGTACAATATATAGAATGAGCTTAAATAGAACTAATCTAAACGCATCCCAAAATTGGTTATCATGCAGCGCATGAGACATCTCGTCTTGCCATCTTAGGCATAATGTCAGTGTACGCATGCTACAACTATATACAACTCTGCATCCTGGGGAATATCCATTTGTGCTTCATCGTCATTCAGTGCAAACATATCAATGCATTGTTTTTAAAATTTTACAAAAATAATATGCTGAAGAAGCTACACTTATAGTAGGATAGTTCACTAGGGTTACGCATTAATATTAAACTTATATACTTTCGTTTATGCTCTCACTGTCACAATGCCTGACTGACCTAAACATGATGGTAGGTCTGCTCCAAAATTGACTATATTATCACCAAGACCCATGCGATTACCATCACCCTGAGTACGATCTCTGAATTTATCCTTACCCTATATTCGCTACGAAGATGTGTCCATCTCGATCGATGATTTTTTGGAACCCCCTGAAGATTGGTTAGAATGGATTTTCCTGTGTCAGAAGTGGTGCCCCACTTTACGCTACTTTAATTCGATGGCTCCTTTTCTTTTTTTTTTTCTTTTTTTTTTTGTTGTTGAGTTTTTACCCTTCCTAACTAAGATTTGAAGCCAACTCGTTGACTTGATGTGGCATCACTTTTATGACTTGAGCTACGCCTTGAAATAGCTTATAAGATCGTGCTTTACAGAAACTTCATCACAAGAGCTAATCAAATATTGATATGTTATAAAAAGAGTACAATTACTAACTTTTTATATGAATCAAAACAAATGTTGTTCTTCAGTACCCAATTCCCAACAATGGATCTTCGAACTCTTCTTGAATAATTGTAAATCTCCAGGTCAACAGTATTCTTCAACATAAAGATCTCAAATTAAGATACAAATATTGAGGATTCAATGTATTTTAATGTGTAATCTTACCTCAAGATTGTCTATCTAGCCTCCCCACTTTTTTAGAGTGAAATATTCCTATTTGTAGACCTAGATTAGGTCTAAAATAAAGTCTAAGAAGGATTGGGAACCATAACTTCAGTCCAATTAGGATTATTCAAATTGCTGAAATTTGTACCTTGACTTTGTAATTTGTTTCCTAAATCTTCTTTCTTATTCAGATTGAGTCCTACGACATTGTAATTGAGGTTCTTCAACTTTCAAAAGTGACTCTTTGGTCTCCAATTTCCAAAATATGTCCGACTTTACCCCTTGTTTAATCAATTATTGCTCATTTTCATCCGTTCTCGTCCAATACTGGATTTTCTCCAAAAATAATCAAAAAAACACACAAAAGTTAAGAATCTAGTTCATAAAATTACTTTCAAAAGCTATTTTTGATGTTCAAGATAAGTATAATATTTACGCTTATCAATCATCATTAGTTTGGCACTCTCACGTCACCTTTTGTTTCTTCCTCCATGCAAGTTGTCACATTCAACTTTGTAGTTTCATTATTTATTTCGCAAACTTTTGATGTTCTTGTAGCAGCATCATGAGTTCGAGGGAAGAAGTTAAATATATCAGTTCTTTATATTTAGGGTAGATTAGTCTTTGTTTCTTATCTGCTAGCAAGACTATATAAAGCTTATTTTTCTTGTATTTTCATTATGCAATTAATCAAGAAACCTAGCCTCTTTTCTTTTCTCTATATTTTGTTTACTGATTTTAAGATGCCTTAGATGTAATTGCATGTATTGCTAAAAATGTCTCCATTATGTGGATATCAAGGAGGTATGACATCTGTAATTGCAACACTTACAGGACTCTTCCTTCCAGCTGTGCTAAGGCCTCTCTACTGGCACTCCTTTGAATCATCCAAGCAAATGCTCAGCCATGTTTTAAGTTATGCAAGTGAGCTCTTTATTTCTAATTACCGGAACTCTTCCTTCCAACTGTGATAAACCTCAAGTTTGTAAACTCAGTTTTTCATGTCATGAATTTATCAGTATGGTGTTTCGTAGTAATTTAGTTTTTGGTACTAAAACTTGTCTTGAGTTTTTTTGGTTGTTTAAGTGCAGATGACATTCAATGTAGTGTTAGAAGTGCATGAGAGATCCATAGCTTTTTCAGCATTAGATAGAGAGATAACAGATAACATTTAGATAGTGTAAATGGAAGTCAGAAAGTTTAAGTGCAGATGACATTCTTATGATCCAATTTGTTAGTTACTTCTCTCTCTAAATCCATTCTAAAATGCCTATTTTTGATAGGAGCAAACTCTTGAAATGGAAAAGTTCAACTTCAATGAGTGAGGTAGTCCATTAAATTATTTGGTTCCTTATACACTAATATACTTAATTGATGTGACTGAGGTACATTTGGACGGATAAAAAAGTCGAATTCAAGTAGAATCGTTATAGAATTGGGTAGTGAACTATTCTTGATAGATGGAAGCAAATTGTTTTGTTTAATTTTATTTCTTATACTTTTAAACCTTGAGATTAAGGAAGTTTTTTTTTTTTTTTTTTTTTAATGAGAAGGAATTAAATTACATAAATCCTTAGTTTGATGGTTTTTGACTATAAATTTTTTAGCTTAAATGTGTTAATTCACAACAAATTGCAATTCAAATTAACAACGAATTTAATCAGTTATAAACAAATAAAAATACCAACAGAATAGTGATGCTTTTAGCTACGATTTTATCCGCTGGGTTTTTTCTCCATTTAATCCATTGGTAATTTTCTCTGGGCGTAGTTTTTGGAACAAATAACGGTAATAGCAACTGAAATTCTTGTTTCTAATACGTTAGTAAATTAGCAGTGAGAGTTTCACATGCGGATGGACTGACAAGCAATTTCCGTTCGTTAAGGCTATTACCGATGGAATAGGAGATTCAGGACTAAAAAATTCCTTTGCTCATTCCAAATTTATGTAGTGAAATCGAGAACAATTGTTAAAGCAACTTATGAGAGTAACAATCTAAATTTGTTATTTTCAAGAGTTTGTTAGAATTCTAATTGCTGACCAATTCTTAATAATCCAATTCTTTTGATTGGTAACCAACAATGTGAACCAAGGAGAATCTTAATTGACCAAGATGGAAGAAAGGAATTAATTAGTAACCAAGGAAGAATACTCCTTAAGGTCAATAACTGCCATTAAACAGGAAAAATTTTGGCTCTATGATGAATATTTTGGTTCTAATCTTGAATGACACAATTTAACCACTTTTCTAAAGTGTTAATTTATCCTCTCTAAAAGCCTTCTTCCCTAAAAATCCCAAACCCATTTTGCAATCATTCTCCTTCTGCCCCCATAGTTATCTTGAAAATGAAAACCAATTGTTTAGCCTGGATATTTGTCTTTCTATGTGCTAAAGTCGTTTTGGGATTGGCTCTCGAAAATCCTCATATGATTAGGGAGAGAGAGATGGATTTCCCAAAGTACGACTTGTTGGAAACAGAAAAACTCGATGACAATTATTTTGAAGCATCTTATATAAAAGCATAAATCTGTCCATTCATTCTCTATGTTAGATTATTATTATTATTATTATTTTTTTTTTTTTTCATCATCGAAGGACTGTCTCATGTAAAGAAAACAAGTTGGGATAAGACTTGAACACTATTTCATTCTCTTCCGTCTTCTCGTGATAAACTATTTCATCTTATTGCTTAAAGTTTTAGAGGAATAATTTATTTTCTTTATGCTTCACATTAAGAATTGTTCTGATCAAATCAAATCAATTCTTTTCTGACTCTCCAAGTTAAATTGCGTGCAGGCAGAATGGGACAGTCAAATGGGAAACATATGCAGATGGAAGAAAACTGTTGGCAACAAACGATAATATTGGCTGGAAAGAAAAGGCACGAAGAAGTAAAGGGTGTTCTTCTGGTGGAAACACAGTTATAGGTACCATGCAGATAATAGTACAGTATTTCTACATAGGCCTTTCTTCATATCAGCCACCATAATTTGTCTTAGCATATCTACTCTCCTTGTTTAACCCTTTCCATTTTCCTAATTTTTTAGTTCAATATTCACTTTCTTTTATATTGTGTAGAATTATGGCATATATTTGGCTTAACTTATGGTGCATGTGATATATTTTGTAGATTTCACACTCAATGTTGTGACCTTTCTAACACATATTCGCAAAAACACGTCTAGTGACCGATGCAGATATTTTTGAGGTGGGACATAATCAAACTTGTAAAAAAAGTAGTGTCACCAATCCATCTCCTCTGATCCACAGTTACACTGGAATTTGTCTCACAACTTATTAGAAAAGACTTCCTCTGAGCTTTCCCAATCTCCGTAAATCCGAAAATAATCACCAACCACAATATACCCAAGTCCCAACAACCCCATGGCCTTAATTAATCAGCACTCAAAAACAACCCAGGATTCCTTTTTCCTCCCCTTTTTACCCTTTCTTTTTCTTCAGAAAATATTTCAGCAACCAATGCAAATACCAGTAAACACAAGAATAGAAGAATATAAATCAAAAGATGAAAAACACTAATCTTCTTGAATGGCACTGACTTCCCTTTAATCCCAATATCAAATGCATCAATCTCGTCCATATATTTCAGCTAAAGCAAAACTATTCAATACACATCAAATTCAAACATCAAGTTACCTGCATCAATCTGGGCTATCTGCAAGTATTTGAACAGCCGAATCAAAAACTAATTACTCAAAAGTCCCAATCAGAAAGCAGATCTAAACCAAGAAAAGGCCCATGAAATGAGATTTTTCCTCATCAGTTCAAGATTGAAAATCTCTAAAGAAAATTAGGGTTCAAAGCATCTTTTGAAAACCAAGGGAACAACAAATATTGGGTTGGCTAAAGTGTTGAAACAGCCTGGGCCCTGGAAACAGATTTGAAGAATTAGAATTTAGAATAGATTTCGGGTTTTACATTTAGAAGGGGTGGACAGCCGCGCTCAGTTAAGCCGGTGCCGGTTGAAGAGCAAAAGGCGGACTGGCGGGGGTGGCCAAGTGGGGCGATGAGTGACGGTCTGCAGCGGGCCAGTGCGAACAATTGAAGACAATGAGAAAGAGCAGCATATATCTGATTTTTTCATTAAATAATAATAATAATAATAATAATAATAAATTAAGCTGGATTTGACCCACCCGTGACCCCACTCTCCGGTCCGCTGCTGATTACGCGACAATATATTTGTTATCTTGAGATTTAACATGACAAAACAAGATTAAAAGCTTATTTGGTACGGAATAAAATTTAATTTTAATTTTAATATAAATTAAAGTCAAATAATTAATGTTAATCACATTTTTTATGGATTCACAATTTTTCAACCACACATTTTAAAAATTTCTATCACAATCTATTAAAAAATTTAATTTTAATCCCCACCAAACACCCTCTAAATTCCTATCTCGGAGCAATTTTATCCCAATTTTAATCATATTTTTTATCCCTGAAATTGTAGGTGAGATTTATTTGTGCAATAATTATCAACTCCGAAAAATGTTTTACTAGAAATGCCCTTTTCTAACGAAGAATGAAATTAGAGTTGCATGACGATTTTGTCATTCTACCTAATTCAATCAATAATTGAGGCTCCCCTACACTGACAATACACTTAGAATGGCTAAAAATTCACAAAAAAATTTGATACAAAATCGTTCCTGGACGAGGGCTAAGGAAGAAGGGAAGTAGAAAATGAATTCCCTGTCCGACATATATAAACTTGAAAATGACAATAACCAATCAGGTAATGAGTTGAAGTCGTGCTTTAAACACAGATATCAACCAAAAAAGGGAGATCTTCCCATTTTGTTTGCATGTGAAATAGCATGGTTATTCGCAACAAAACATTTTCTTTGTCCATTGGTTAAAAACATGCTTTTGGGGAGTAAAAACAAATACTCACTAATAGATATTAGGGAAAATTGCAGTGGTCCTTAACTTTTTAATTTTTTTTAACTTTAACCTAAACTTCACTTTTTGCTATCCACAATTCCAGACCTTTGAAAAATACGCACATAGGGTCGACCATCCATTTGACTATTATTTGACTAGGAAAATAAAAATTTGACCACTTTTTACTAAATTGAAAAGGGTAAATGGTATATTTACATTTTTCTAAATATTGTTAACAATTAAAACAACTAAACTAAAAACCCAAAAAAAAAATAATAATAAAAATAAAATAAGAAAGAAAGAAATCTACCCTACCCACATGTTTTCATCATTTTCTTCTTCTCCTTATCGGCGACGGCCATGATACTACCATTGTAACCATTCTCTTCTCTCTCCCGATCCCACTACATCTTCTCCTCTACCTAAACTTGCCCACCTACATTTGTAGTTGCAAAAATCCAGACATCAAATTTGGAGACATTTTTTCCAATTCTTGATTTGGAGACATTTTTTCCAATTCTTTGCCAAATCAAAATTTGCAGAAATTCAAAAATCAAATCTAGAGTGAAATATGATTTTTGCTTATTCTATAAACATGATTTTTCTCATTGATCAAGCCCAGGAATAATAATTGCTAGAGTCCAAGGCATGGGTGACCAGCATGACAGTACTTCCATCGTTGTTGCCTATATAATAAGGGCTGCTGGGATGAGTTGAATCAAGAGAAAGAACACCTGAGTTCCCTCCTCCAGTTTGGTTTTGGATTTGGCTCGGACTGGTGTTTGTATTTGGGGTGAGATTTGTGTTTCTTGAATTGGATTCCTCCATTTCTAGCTTTGATAACATGTGCATCTACTCAAATCGTCAACAACAGATAGAAAATACTTAGAACCATCTCTGCTGATTTCATTACAAGGCCCCCATTTGTCACAATGTATTAGTTCGAAGCATTTTTTTTGTTTTGCGATTGCTTACATTAAAAGGTAGTCTATGTTGTTTTGCTAGGGGGCAAATGGAGCAATGATTCATGCTAGAAGAAGCAGGTATGTGGATGTTCCCATCAAGACTAAATTCAGAATATGAAGAGTGCCCTAATTTGTAATGCCATAGATCATAATTTTTTTTTTATTGATGGCAGATGCAGAAAAAAGAGGATAGACACTTGAACTATTTGCAGGTATTCGATAAAGCTGAATGAGAGACTTCCTTTCACACCATATGATACAATCCATCTTTCACCTCACCCACTCCAGTCGTTCTCCAAGTCGAGAAGTCCTGAATATAACAATGATTAGAGAAGAAGACAAGACAACAGTTTAGAGATTGAGCAAGCTTCTTTACTGAAATTAAATTGAAAGTGAATCTAGGAATGCAAAGGACATTTTGTAAGGTAATTGCTTCTGAGATTTTGAAAGTTCCTACATGAGTGACAGGGACGTTGTCTCCATTCGGTAGAACCACAGAATAGCACACATTAGCTTGAATAGATGTAAAAAGAGAGGTGGAGCAGATCATGTGATCTGTAGCTCCTGTGTCAAGAACCCATGGGATTTCAGAAATATCTCCCTGCCTATGATGAAATGCAGTTAAGCATAGAGGCATACCAGACATTTTGTGAGTGAAATCTTCAGAACAGAAAGGATTAGTAAGTGTTTGGACGTTGTTTGATGAAGGGGTGGAGTGATGAGTGCCTGTTGCTGGTTTGAGCAGTGCCAATAGCTGAGAGTATTGCTCTTGACTTAAGGATATTTGGCTCTTGTCCTTTACCACTTCTTGATTGTGTATCATGCCTGTAGAGACCAAGTTGACAGCATGCTTTCCTCTGCCTAATTAGTAAGAAACAGGTCAGGTCGGATTGATGACAGGGCAAGTGACGTAGCAACAATAGAAGAATGATCTAGAAGGGGATTAGTTAGATTTTGTTATTGTACAGCAGAAGAATAATCAGCTTTTTGTGTAAATTTGTTAGGAAAGATTCCTTCATTTTGTGTATATATATAGGGGCTCTACTGTACATTAAACACGACAAATTGAATACAATTTCATTCTTCTTCCAATTCATTATTATCAGAATTTTTATCTTTCAAAATCTTACATGGTATCAGAACTAGAAATGGAGGAATCCAATTTAGGAAACACAAATCTCACCCCAAATTAAAACACCAGTCCTAGCCAAATCCAAAACCAAACTGGAGGAGGGAACTCAGGTGTTCTTTCTCTTGATCGAACTCATCCCAGCAGCCCTTATTATATAGGCAGCAACGATGGAAGTACTGTCATGCTGGTCACCCATGCCTTGGACTCTAGCAATTATTATTCCTGGGCTCGATCAATGAGAAGAGCATTGAGAATCAAAAATAAGCTGGGGTTCATAGATGGTAGTCTTTGTGAACCAAAAGGCCCAAATGATCCATTGATGGAACATTGGTTAAGGTGCAATGACATTGTCATAACATGGTTGTAGAATGCCATGGCAATTGATATCAAGAGTAGCACCATTTATGTTGAAACAGCTCACCTTCTCTGGCTTGATCTTGAACAACGCTTCTCCCAGCAAAATGCTCCACGTATCTTTGAAGTGAAGAAGGATATCACAACCTTAATGCAAAGTCAAGACTCGGTGAATGTTTACTTCTCAAAACTCTCCTGGATGAATTGCTGAATTATGAAAGTATTCCCAATTGTACGTGTGGAGGTCCAAAAATTGTCGTTCAAAATCAACAAAAGGATTAGGTTATGAAATTCTTGATGGGGATAAATAATTCTTACAAAGAAATTAAGGCCCAGATCTTATTGATTAAGCCATTTCCCAGCCTGAATGAGGTATATTCATTAATCCAGCAAGAGGAGAAGAGACGGGAGATATCTAATACAGTTCCTGTTAATTCTGACTCCATGGTTTTTCTGAGCAAAAGGGATTCTAGAGAAGGAGAAAATCAACCTTTTTCATCATAGAAAGGGGACAAATATTATTGCACTCATTGCAAGGTTGCAGGCCACTCCCTTGAACGATGCTTCAAGGCAAATCCAAGCAGGCCAATCTGCTCTTACTGTAAGATGCCAGGACACGAAGTGAACAAATGTTTTAAACTCTATGGATTCCCACCAGGCCACAAGTTGAACGGCAGAGGAAAGCATGCTGCCAACTAGGTCTCTACAAGCATGATACACAATCAAGAAGTGGTAAAGGACAATGGCCAAATATCAATACTCTCAGCTTATGGCACTGCTCAAACCAGCAACAGGCACTCATCACTCCACCCCTTCATCAAACAACATCCAAACACTTGCTAGTCCTTCTTCATCTGAAGATTTCACTCAGAAAATGCCTGGTATGTCTCTATGCTTAACTGCATTGCATCATAGGCAGGGAGATATTTCTGAAATTCCATGGGTTCTTGATACAGGAGCTACAGATCACATGATCTGCTCCACCTCTCTTTTTACATCTATTCAAGCTAATGTGTGTTATTCTGTGGTTCTACCGAATGGAGAAAACGTCCATATCACTCATGTAAGAACTGTCAAAATCTCAGAAGCAATTACCTTACAAAATGTCCTTTGCATTCCTAGTTTTACTTTCAATTTAATTTCAGTAAAGAAGCTTGCTCAATCTCTAAACCGTTGTCTTGTCTTCTTCTCTAATCATTGTTATATTCAGGACCTCTCGACTTGGAGAACGACTGGAATGGGTGGGGTGAAAGATGGATTGTATCATATGGTGCGAAAGGAAGTCTCTCATTCAGCTTTATCGAATACCTGCAAACGGTTCAAGTGTCTATCCTCTTTTTCTGCATCTACCATCAATAATTAAAAAAAAAAAAAAACTGATCTATGGCATTACAAATTAGGGGACTCTTCATATTCTGAATTTAGTCCTGATGGGAACATCCACATACTTGCTTCTTCTAGCATAAATCATTGCTCCATTTGCCCCCTAGCAAAATAACATAGACTGGCTTTTAACGTAAGCCATCGCAAAACAAAAAAATGCTTCGAACTAATACATTGTGACATATGGGGGCCTTGTAATGAAATCAGCAGAGATGGTTCTAAGTATTTTCTATCTATTGTTGACGATTTTAGGAGATGCACATGGATCTATATGTTAAGACTCAAATCTTATGCCATTGCTGCTTTACAAAATTTTTATGCC